AGAAGTCATTTCTTTATCTTTTTTCTTTATCTTTTTTTCCTTTCCCCCTTTTTTCTCTCTGTACTTTTTTATTTTGTATTTTTAAACTTCAATAAAAAAATTATTATAGAAAAAAGAGAAGATGGCTATGTTCCAGCAACAGAGAATCCTAGAAGAAACAGATTATCCTACTGATCAGGATTGAGGCCCAGTCCTGGGATGGAAGCAGTATTGATCAGCCTAGAGTCACCTTTACTGAGACCCCGAATGTGGGAATGTGCTTTCTTGGTCCTATTAGACCTCTCAGTTATGTTCAATACCATCAACAGTGGCATTTTGCTGGACCTTCAACAAAGGTTGTAAGATTGCACTATGCTTTGGTGTTCTGCTCTTACCTCAGCGGGCAGCTGCAATCTGTAGGGGGCAGCATTCAAACCCATGATTGCTCCAATGTGAGGCGCCCTAAGTTCAATGTTCTCCCCTATACTATTTAATATATCTGTGAAGCTGCTTTAAAAAGTTATTTGTTGGTTTGGGGTAGGATGTCATCAGCATGCTGATGATACTCAGTTGTTCGTGGTCACTCCTGGTTCAACTGTGGATGCCACAGAAAGCCTAAACAAGTGTCTGTTAGGGTCAGATTAAATCCCTCCAACAACAAGTTGCTAGACATCAATAAACATCTCTGAACATCAGTTGCCATGGATATTATGGACAGGGTCATGCTCTCCCTGAAGGAATTGCTTTATGGCCTATGTGTCCTCTTGGACCTACAGCGACTGCTTAAGCAGCAGGTAGAGGCCATGGTCAGTGGGACCATCAGCTGTCACAATAGTTTCAATGCTCCCTGCACCAGGATGCTCTGGTGATGGTAACTCATTCTGTGATCACCATGTAGTTGGATTAATGTAATGCACCCTATGTGGGACAGCCTTTGAAATTGTCCCAGAAGCTGCAGCTGATCCTGAAGAAGGATGCTAGACTACAGGTGGATCAGCCCTGCTACTACAAGGTAACACTAATTTTAAATTTGCTATAGTGGCTACCAGTATAGCCACTAACTTCCTGGCCAATTCAAATGGCTTGTTATCCCTTCAAGGCCCTATGTGGTGTGGCATTGCTTTCCAAGGACTGAAGCTGCCCAACCAATAAAAACATCTCAAAAGGGTTTGCTGAAGTTCATGCAACACCCTCCTTCTTGGCATTTTGCAAGGCAGTTAAAACAAGCTTATTCCATCACGTTTTGAACCCTAGATGATTGTTTAGAGACACTCATATTGGAATGATTGATAAACATTACAGGTAGTCCTTGGGTTATGATGCCAGTTAGGACTGGAATTTCCATTGCTAAGCAATGCAGTCATAAAGCGCAACTTCATGTGACTGCATTGCTTAGTGACAGCAATCCCTGCAGTTCCCATTGCTGTTGTTAAGATCATGGGTTGTTTGGCAAGCACCTCCTTGCAACTTCCTGCCAGCTTCCTACAACCAAACTCCATGGGGAAGCTGGCAGGAAGTTGCAAGTCCCAGGCAGCTTGCAAGTATGCTGGCAGGCAGCTAAATGGCTGCTGCTGGGTGGGACAGGTGCACAAGGGTGTGTGGGTGGCTGGGGAGGTGTGGCATGAGTGCAGCGAGGCTCAGGGAGGGTGTGCAAGAGTCTGCAAGTGGCAGGGGAGACTGTGTGAGTGGCCAGGGAGGTGCGGTGCAAGTGCACTGGGGCTTGGGGTGGCTGCTGCTCAGGGGAAGGTGTGCAAGTGGCCAGGGAGGTGTGGCACGAGTGCAGTGAGGCTCAGGGAGGGCATGCAAGGGTGTATGGGTGGCTGGGGAGGTGCAGCACAAGTGCAGAGGGGCTGGGGGAGGGTGCATGGGCAGGGGAGACTTACCTAAGCAACTTGCAAACTTTCCTGCCAACTTCCCCATTGACTTTGCTTGTGGGAAGCTGGCAGAGAAGGTTGCAAATTGTGATCACATGACCACAGGATGCTGCAATCAACACAAGTGCAAGCTGGTTGCCCAGCGCCGGGATCGTGATCACAGGACTGCAGGGGTGCTGGGACAGCCATAACTTCAAGAACCGGTTGTAACCACCACTCGTTCAGTGCTGTCATAACTTTGAACAGTCGCTGAACGAGCGGTAGTTAACTGAGGACTACCTGTATACTCTGGGTTTATCCGCTTTGTTGTATGGTGTCCAGAATCTTTAGGCTGGGGATGGTTACAAAAATTGTAAGCAAATAAATAAATAAAACTGGCTATTTTTTATTCCTTGTTCTGCAGTCTGCATAGTATTTTAAAAATGAATAGCATTATGGGTAACTATCTGATTTTTTTAATCCTCTTCAAAAACATTAAATTGATGTATCTACTGTACAATTAAATGTACAAACAAAACTTATGTCGCATTAAGTTACAGGTAGTCCACAGATTAAGAACGCCCAGTGACCCATAGTTAAGAACGGAGCCTACTGTAGCAAAATTCGAGTTAAATACACAATGAATTGAGTTAAATACACAATACTATTTATACAATATTATTCAATTGTACTGTTCTGGCTTACATACAAATTTGACTTAAGGACAGACCTCGGGAACAGAATTCATTCTTAAACTGGGGACTATCTGTATACAGTAGCAACAACTAAGAAACAAACCTCTTGGTCAGTGAAGATCTCAATGAAATTCTGAAATGAGAAAGATCCTGACTGAAGAATGAGTTCGCCTGTATTTTCAAAGCTCTGCCCAGTCAGTACCAGAAGCTTATGTCGTGCAGCATCTGTTATCATTAAACGCACCTGCAGTAGAAGATACCAATAATGACTTTGAAACATCTTTTACACTTCATGCTTTCTCTAGGAAAAAAATATTAACATCCTCAAGGAAGTTATAGATTACCTTTGGATTGTATTTATCCAAAAAAGAAGGAATACTTGTGTTTCAGGTGGGGGATAGAAGATGGTTTTGTAAAACAAACAAAAAAACCTCACATATAGCAAATGAAAGGGGGGAACTTTTTTAAAAGCAAAACAATAACGTTAACTCAATAAAGATAAAAGAACAGAAAAGCAAATCCAGTAAACATTAAAAAGTTTGGAAAGTCTGGAAAAGTAAGCTTCTATGGTCACAACAGTCCTAAGCAATCGATTTGATCTGCACAACACAGGGGCTACCAGATCTGGATTGCATTGGGACATCGCATGTTTGCTCATTTGCTCCTCCTTTCAGACACCTATGATTCAATGAATTAACATTTACAATGAGTTCAAGGATGATCACTAAAAGCTTAAGGAAGCAGAAAAAAGCAAATTCCATGCTGGTTTGGCACTAATTGTGTTGGGATATAAAAATCTAACATTATTTTTAACGGGTTACATCCCTTTCCTGTTCATCATTATCATTAAACAATGAGATTAGTACTTGACTATCTCATGAATGCCACTTTATTTCATCCCTCTTAAGTGCACTAGACTCATTAACAACAGAATTCTCTTCTTTTGTTTCCTGTGCCTGGTGGCAAAACTCTACGAAGGCTGCCAGCACATTTTACAAAGCAATTACCTTTTCCAGGGGAAAAAAAAGCAAACAAACAGAAATATTTCACTAATATGTGGCTTCTGCATTATATTCCCACATTTTATTTATTTAATGGGGGCCATAGGTGGCATCCAGAGATTGGCAATGGGGACAAAATAAGAAATTGACAAAATTCTTGCTGAATATTCATTTGGAGAGTGTTATCAATTTATAATGTGGAATGTCTATTATATTACTATTAAAAAGAAAAAGACTTGGTTTAAAAAAAATCAAAAACTTGCTCAGATGAGAACTAAATGCAAACTTTAGCAAAACAAAAACAAAACCATGGGGTTTGCATTACCAAAAAAATCCCCAACCCTGAAAACTTTTAAAAGACAAACAGCTGTTTATAGGAGACTCAGTATTGTGGCTTAATCCATTTGGACAATTTTGTTTGGGTAACAAACAAACAAAAATCAGTGAGATATAAAATAAGTGTGAGCAGTTTGTTGAATAATTTTATAATCTTTTAAAAAAATACATAATTTACTCCTAAAAATAATCTCCATGAAAAATGAGAAAAAAAATAGTAATTTTCAAAAGAAAAAAAAATCTAAAAGGTTCCAGAAAATTATAGGCTGGATTTGTTAGGATTTGTTCTGGAAAGCTGGTAGAAAGCCCTAAGAAAAGTTACCTGCCTCCCTGAGTATTTATGGATTTGTCACAAGCTGTTGACCAGTGAGAGAAACAGGATACTCCCACTGGTCTGCCATGCAGATTCTTGTTATATTCAGGTGATTTGTCTTTTCCTCATAAATTAAAAAAGGAGATATACAATGTCACCAAGGAAACGGAATGGAATGTGAAACAACATCATTTACTCATTGATTCATATATTTAGGTTTTATTTTCATCTAGATGTGGATGACAAAAAAAAGAGAGATAAGCCTGCCACTGAAAATGTAACAAAATTAGCCTACAATATTATTATATGCTATTACCTGAATGTAAATCACACTAAACTCAGTGGAACTTACTTCACAGTAGACATGCATTCTATTCCACTGTGAGTAAAAGATCAGCATCTCTGGCCTAATTGCTTTTGAGTTATTTTATGTTCATTGCATACGCATATAATATTGGTTAACTATATCAGCCTAGTTATGATTTTTTTATTACTTTACCTCAGTACTGACTGCTTCATCTGAAGGGTTAATCAGGACAACTGTTTCTAAGACATCACTTCTGTGGTGAAGGATTTTCTGACCTGTGAATGTGGAAGAAAAGAAAAATGAACTTTAAACCCTGCATTCAATGTGTTTATGCTTTCCTCATGCCCATTTGTGTTCTCCTAAGCAAACTGTTTTTTTTCAGAACATTTAAAATAAAATCCACATTTTAGTATTATGAATCACATAAAAGCCTGATTTTTAAAAATCTGATTCATTTCGTTTCATATTTCTGGAAATGTGTTTATTTTTCAGCCTAACTGCCAGCAATAGCTTTTTCTAACTTTCCTTTTCTTGGCATCATTCTGATGGGTGCTTCTTTGTTTGAGAGAGGCAGTAAGATTAATTAGCAATTTACACTGGGATTATGAAGGCAATGCCCCTGCTTAAGCACCCAACTGGCAATTAGTCCAGCATCTCAGGAAAGAAGCTTGGCACATTTTATTAAAAGGAATTAATCAGTCTTGACAAAAGAATGCATGCAGAGAGCAAACAATTCATTTGACAAGTCTGAAATAATACTATTTTTTAAAAGCACATACATTCCTTTTAAAAACCTAGTGACATATATGCTGGTCTATGACCATAATAAAGATTTGATTGATTGACCTAGTGACATAAAGACTAATCTGTTAGGAGTCAGGCATTCCCCTAAGATGCTTTGTAAGAATATGAAGCCCTATATGTTCAGATTATTTGGGGCAAGGCATCCAGCATTTTCAGGGGAAATTTTACTTGTAAAATTTTTCAATTCAATGTACTTCAGAATACTAACTTGTACTGGTTAAGTTATAACATTGAGCTTTGAGCATTATTATACAATAACAATCAACAATATTTCATCCCTGTTTAATCAAATACAAAATGTCCTATAAAGTACTTCTTTCAAAGTCCTTTCTATATTCTTTTTACAAAATCACTAGTGTCACAATGTTTGATTGATTAGCTACATTGATTAAAATATTGATTTGCAATGATACCATCAATTAATCAGTTGGCAGGCTTTTTTAATACACTGAATAGAAATCCTTATTAAAAACTCCAGATGGCAAACACATCGTTAAAAGAGGCATCCCAAGTGTATAAGAGATAAAGAAGAATGTCCATTATGAAGGATACAAAGGGGACATGTATTTGCTTCTGTACACCACCCAGAATTGATCAGGTTGGGTGACTTATAAATGCTGTAAAATAAATAAGCAGTCTAAAATAAATAACAAATGTTTAGAATGTAGACTTAATTCTTTAGAAGCATTTTCTTTCACAAGCACCATACATATTCACTCAGAAATAAATCCCATTGAAACTATGGGCTTTACTTTCAAATGGAAAGGATTGCAGCCTTAATAAACTACTCATGTCTGTTACTCAGAAGTAAGTTCCACTTTGTTAAATAAAGTTTATAGCTGCACCCATTTTTTTCAATTTCAATAAAGGAAACATTCTATACCTAGCCTTCAGATTGAGGAATATAAAGTTGGCTTAATTGTGATTCTCTGTCTACAATGGTTTCATACAAACAGTACAGCAATTTCAAAGTGAGTTCCCACAACATAATAGACACCTTTCTCCACTGTGAGGTCATGTGGTACTTATAAAGTAAAATTATATGCTAACCAGCCTGGATGGGAATGTTTGGAGTTATGGTTTCAATACACCTAGAGGGCATGGTTGAAGAAGGCTATGCTATTTCTAATTATACCAGTTCCTTAATGGTAAAATGTTACCCAATAATATGTTAGGGGGCTTACTTAGTTCTATATTGATAGTACATGGATCTCTCCCCCCTCCCCCACTTTTCAGGGCATCTGTCTGTGACATCTATCACCCCCTTGATTAAATAAACTCCTGGGCTACAAAATGTGGGCTGCAAAAATACAGTTGATCACAAGATGGAAATAAACAGTTTTCTATATCAGCTGGATTTTTGCAGCCTGAATCTGGTGGCCCTAGTTAAAAAAAATTTCCTGGCGACACAGTATTCTACAGATGCATCCTAGTCAAGGATTTCTTTTGCTCAGAGAGTTCTTATGGCCAGTCAGATGTTGACACTTCAGTCAGATGGCCAAGTAATCCTTTACAACACTAATGGTTTTATCTTGTCTGTATTCCATACATCATTTGTTTTGTAGACAAGGCCATTTATTTTAGATAAAGTTTACATTCTGAAATGATAAATAGAGTTATTGGTAAATAAAGAGAGCATAACTTTGACACTGCTTCCACACGAGTAGTTTTGTTTAATATTGGTTACCTAAATTGCCATATCTTTCGTCACAGGTCTAAGGAATGTTCAGTAAGTTAGTCAAATATATCACCATCATAGCACAAAGTCATAATTTGCTCCTCTACTTCATCTAACTAAACATTTGAACATGAAGAGTCCATGAAATGCTCGCTAGAAGTTCCACAAAACAAGGGAAAGTGTTCCTTTAAAAAAAAGGGAGTCCATTTGATAATTTATGGAACATTCAACATTTGAGAAAAAATTCATAAAGCACCTTCGCCTTGTTCTTTAAAATAACTATTTGCCAATGGAATATATGTTTACATGAGAATTAATCCCACTATATTCAGAGGGGATTACTTCTGAAATGCATAGGATTCCACTTAAGTATCACTTTTATGGTATGAATAATATATTTACTGCAGATACTGCAGCACAAGGCACTTAACATATGTCATGTCAGCAATTCTTTCTAATGAATCTTCATTTGAAAAACAAAGATAAAATTGAAATGGCAGCAGGCTGATGGATTTTCTGCATCTGTTTGCAAATTAGCTTAGAGATGCTTATGAAGCCCAACTTCTTCCTGTCAACTGGAAAATGTCCTTTAATGTGCGCAAAATAGAGGCCATAAAGAGAGAATAAGAATTTTGCTTTTAAAGATTCATGTGACTCTCAGATGTTTTAAAAAAAATGAGATACAGCAAATTTTGACAAGATGTTTGATATGGTAAGTAGTAGTCTGCATTCCATGCTTTAACATTTTCATCCAGACAGAAAATTTGCTTTGAGTAGGTTGTTAACAACAAACAAAAGTCATGTATATAAATTACATGCAACACCAGATGAGTCTGGAATATGTTTACTTTTTCAGAATGAAAGGTTTGATCTCCTTCAAATTTTCATGGGAGTTGAAATGTCCTAGACCAATACATCAAGCAGAAATTCCAGGCTCAGTTTGAAGGTAGAACAGATTCAGTTCCAATGTAGATTGCCATGTAATCAAAATGGTACCAAATTTTGTCTTTCAACCTTTATAGCTCTGGAAGGCTAATATGTGGATAACCACATTGCTATTTTACACAGTGAAAAAACACACTTTTTCCTGAGATCCCAAAAGTATAGCCTCACAGCTTCTGCTAAAGAAGTAACTGGGAAATCATTTATAAGTGACCGGAAGCACTATCTTTCTCTTAACCCTCCCCTTCTTAAATAGGCAGGTTTTCCAAAAACTCAGTCTCCAACGAATAAGCATTTTACATACCTCACAGAAAGCTCAGGTCTTACTATAGCTGAAAACAAAATAAATCAACAAAGTACTTGGAAGCAATACATGAATGGAAAAATAATGCAATGCACTGACCAACATAATTGGAAGCAAGTGCTGTACTGTGTCAGCTAAGAGACACACAAATAATAGCTGATCTCCAATAACAGTCTTATCTGGATATTTATTAGAATAGCCCTGATAACACAAGAATACAGCCTGATTTCTGTATATGAGATGAATAATGACATAAATGCAAATTGCAAGGCAGGATTCACATTAATAAACAACAAAGTATATTGGAAAGAGAAAGTAATGTGTAAAATGCATTGAACTTCAATACAACCCATAAACTAAACATACCTCAGAGAAAACATACTTGAAATGTAATTGATATGTAACTCAAACCTATGTCTACTGACTCAGAAGTAAGTTCAGAAGTTTTGTATAGCTTTGGTTAATATTGAAAGAATTTATCCACACGGGCAGGAACCAAAAATGTATCATCAATCTGAATTGACAACTCCCCAGAGAGGAGAACATTCTACCCATGGTCTCTGGACCATATGTTTGGGATTTTAAAATTTTACCCAAAGGAACAGTATCAACTCATGAAAAAGCAGCATAATTAGAATGACATTTACAGGATATTCTTATTAGCCATCTCCATTTACTGAGATTTATTTTTATTGAGGACAATGAATTGCTTAATCTGGAATCATGTTTATTCTTTCCAATCCAATGGAATGTTGGAAATAAATTATATAAAGGGCCTATCCATCAGCAGCATAACTCTGAAAACTGAGCAAAACACAACCAAATGTCATACTGGAGAGAAGACAGCAAAGAAAAGACTGAATTTGAAAATGGGCTGGATCTGGCTGGAAGCTGCAAAGAAAAGACTCCTCCAATGCATCCCCATTGAAGACACAGTTGGGCAGTGCTTAGAATATTGCCAATTCCTTCATTCTAAGCCTCTTCAGTTCTTCCTCTTGGTCATGTGTCTCAGGGTGGAGCTATTATTAAGGAGCTTGAAATAATTTCAGAAGCCATGTTCAGCATGCTTTCCCTCCCTTGTTAGTTTTAATTGGTCAGTTATTTATCTCTCTTTTTTAAAAAAAAATACTTTTTATTAAAGATTTTAACAGTAGCAAAAGAATTGAAAGAACAGGAAAAGTGAAGAAAGAAAAAAGAAAAAGGAAAGAATATTTAAAGACGTGACTTCTGATATCCTTTATAAGCACAAGCACATTTAGGATTTCTCTACCCCGTCTGATATTACATTACATAAATCACTTCTTCCCATATCTCAACCCTTATCCATCCACAAATGCAGAAATTATTAACACTTCTGCCCAGTATCAGCAAAAAGTCCATAAAGAGTTCCCAGAACTTTATAAAACAATTCTTGTTTTAACCCTGATCAAACAGGTCAACTTTATATTCCTTTCTCTTGCTCTTAACATCCTTAATCTTTGCTTCATTCAGATGGTGTCGTAAGATTTGATCTCCATCCAATTTTTCTTTTCTCCTACCTCGGGAGT